ATTCGAAAACGACCATTTTAAGGACCACCCTAATATATATATATACACACCGTACATACACATAAAATTAAAAAGTACTCTTTTTAACAAGCATTCATGCAACTATTGAAAATAAAACAATCATGCTTCCGTAATTTTTTAAAAAATCAAAAAGGATGTTTTAAAAAGTTTTCAGCATGGATTTATTTAGAATAAATTTTTAAAAACTAGATGAATGCCTTTGAAAAAGCCTTTTTGTTCTTAATTATTCATTTATAAGTATTTATCGAGAAAATTTTGTGTTATGGAATGAATAAATATAAGTTATGTAAATAAGAACACACTATAATCTGTATATATATATATATATATATATATATATATATATATATATATATAGGATGTCCTAGATCATGACATCAAGCTGAAATGAGATGATGATATTGACCTGTTCTAAGAGACAGTTAAGGTTAATACTATCATCCCGTTTTGCCTTGACATTAAAATCTACACCCTAACATATATAAAGTAAAAAACTAATCTAGGAATACATATTTGAAATATATAGAAGAGATTCCTTTCAGAACCTTCAAGAGATTTTCAAAGTGTCGAAGCAATTTTTGTACATAATTTCCCAAAATGGCATAATACTTCAGCATAATTTCAATATCATTGGCCTAACTTTGCTTTATAAATTTAAGAATAAAACATACTGCACTAAAATTATAACCAATAATTTTAAATTATTGACAACAATTTGTGATCATATACAAATATATAATATATGTAAGATTGAAAATGTATAATGTGGATGTGCTTTATTTAATTTTCAGCAAGAACTACTTATTGCTGCAAAATAAAATACCTAACTGATTAATCTAATTGATTTCCAACACTGTGATGTCAATAACACTTATCAAGTAAACATTGTTTAAATTTCAAGGCTTTAAAACTTTGCAAGTTTTCCAATTTATTACGTAGTACTACTTTCCAAATACTATTGAATCACCTTTGCGCCTGTTGTATTTAAACTGACATTGCAGAAGGTGATCTTGAACCAACTGTAAAATCTTTATATTGCGCGAACACGCAAATCTAAAACAAAAATAAGTTCCATGATAGATACACATACACGCATACATACATACATATATATATATATATATATATATATATATATATATATATATTAGTGTGTGTTTGGCACACACACTAATCAGCATGATTCCCAACTAATATCTTTTGAACAATTTTTGAACTTTCATAATCAATTCAGAATTGCAGGCAAAAACGTGGACAAAAAAATTTTCACTTTTCTGCGATTTACAATGAAACGGCTTGGCCGATCGTAGCGCAAAACTGACAAATGATAGTCTTCATCGAGACTCATCGAATGGTTTTTAAATTTTTGAAATCGGTCCATTTTTGAGAAAACGTCAATTTACGGCAAAAAATCTGTTCACATACACACACCACACACACACACATACTTTTTCCAAATTTGGCCTCATTCAATTCAGAATTGCTTGAAATGTCGAAATAACATAAAATTAGCAAATCGGATTTTTTGATGAAAACATAAACTTCTCCTTCGGAAAGTTAAAATGACATAACTCTTATTTGATTTAATTGTAATATTAGTTTGATATATTTTGATATTTATGTATAAGAATGTAAATTACTGTTACCTTATCTTTTAGTTGCTGGCACAGTTGAAGTGCAACTGTGAATAGAACTAATACTTCATTGAGCCAGGGCACTGAACATTCTGCTTGTGCTGAATCGAACCTCACTGTCCCATGCTCATTCACTAATTGATACACAGCAAATATCAATTTATGGCTTTGAATATAAAAACTCAGTGCCAAATCTTCTGGCAAATTTGGTGATAAAGATTTCTGTTTTAAAACATGAAGTATAAAAATTACCATATCAATAATCTGTAACCATCATATGTTAAGTTAAATTACCATATTCCTACTCTTCATTAGTTCATCAATTGCCCTTTTCTTTGGAACAATTAAACTTGTTCTTCCGCGCTGTAGAGCACCAAGTATGTTACCCAAAATGTGCATGATCTCTTCAGAAGACCTAAAAAATTATTCAAATAATTTTTAGTACATATGTAGATATGAAAAAAGTATTATTATGAATTCTTGCATAATAACTACATCCAGCATTATTGACAATTTGAACATTTTGAAGTTTTTCAAATATTAATTGACAATAATTTAAGTGTTGAGGAGTTCTATATTCAAATAAAAATGATCCAAGTGTCAAATTTAAAGCCAAAAATCTAAATAATCTAACTTTAAAATTTCTCTGTAATTCAATACTTTCAGCAAGTATTACAATAAGAAAATAATTTTCTGCACTATAGATGTTATTGAAAGCTTTAATATTTTTAGTTGACTATTCTAATGTACCTGAATTCATAATGTTTGTCAACATTATCAATATGATTTATAGCTTGTTGTAGGTGATTGGCAGCATCTTGAACCTGTTGCAATTTCCATGGAGAATCTTGCACAATATTTGTACGGAATATAGCATTGGGCTGTCTCTGAACTTTAAAATTAATATCCTAAAATAGAAAAATATAATTTCAATGTACATAAAGAAATTAGAAAGTTTAAAAATTATTTAATATAAATTTTTTAACAAATGATTATGAATTTTATGTTACTTGGCAGGGTCAACCCAGTTATTGAGAACTTATAAAAATATGAATTTCTATATAATCTTGCCATTAAAATTGAAATAAAAAAACAGCTCTAACTAAATCTGAGGTAAGAATATATAGCTACAAAGTATCTGACATTTAAAAAAAATAATACAGTAATATCAAATTCAAAAGGTAATTATATACTATCATTCAAATACATTTATTTCTCTTATTGTTTGTTTTTTTGCGACATATTTCAAATTATATTGATTTGGATTTTGATAAAAGAATTTTTTTTTTAATATCACATATTGCACCAAGAAAATACATTTAAATACCCTTTAACTTAAAGCCTAAATAACTGAAATGGTAGCATTTTCCTTTTTAGTAACTATTAAATACTCCTTGACCATACTTCAAACATTGTTAAAAACTGAATGAAACAGTATTAAAAAAAACAGTTTTTAGGGGATTTGAATGGATGAATAACAAATAGATCTATAAAATTATTGCACAATAATATTTTAATCAATTAAAAACATTAATACCGCATGAGTTATGCTATCTCCTGTTAGAGTCACAACACACTTCAATTGTTCTTGTGGTAATGTAAGCACAAATTTATCTTGTTTAGATCCCTCATTACCATATAAAGGCACAGGAAAACGGTGAGCGCACTCCTAAAAATCAATCGTTTTGTTTATGATAATAAATAGTGGAAATTAATCATATAATGGAATAGTTACCACTAATATAGCATGTAACTGATGTAAAACGGCATGGACTTCCTCGTGGAGTACCCACTCAAATTCTATTTGCTATAAAAAAACAAATGGTTAAAGTTGGTTAAATATATACGTATAAAAATCACAAAAGGGAATAGTTCGAAATATATTTTACACATAACCTAGCACTGTCAAAAGTTAATTACGGAAGATTTTTTACAAAGACTACAAGCGGATTATATATCAATATTAAGTAAAATCGCGCTGAGGATGAAATATTTACAATAATTTACCAGAATTGTTGCTTCTTCCTTCTCGGCATTAGCCATTCCGACAATTTGTTCACGCTAAGGAATAAATAACGTCAAGAAAATGTCACATAATGTGACTACAAATCTGCAATAGCCGTCAGTTGAACAGGGAAGAGCATGCTGCGGTTCTTAGATCACACATATTAAAATTTTGTAGGATGGTAACGATGGCAACCGTAACAAATCCAAACAGTATTCAGTTCAGTATCCCATTTTTGTCGCTTTTTTTCTTATATAGAAGAAGAGTATATTTGAAGTGACTTTTTTGTCCATTGGTCATCGTCCTTTTCAGTTTTTCCTAGAAAATTATAGGGTACAGGTGACATTTACTTCAATTTACTTCGATTTTAGCGTGGAAATATCAGTACAGGTTTTAAGATGTTACTGGACCAAATAGAATGAATAAAATCAAAACAGACTTCAGTTCACTCTTCTTTATACTCTTCTTTTATCTATGCTTCAGTTCTTTTTTGCTAATTTTTAAATTTAAATTTTATTTATGATTTAAATTTTTTGAATTAGGGATTCCATCTTTCCTCATTTATGTGTGTATATATGTATATATACATGTTTATGCGTATGCATGGTTATGCGTAGATAAGGGATGAACCCTTTACTTCGTCAAGAACTATTAAGAACAAAACAAAAGTTTATACACTTTTTAATTATTTCAACATTGAAAAAATTCATTTTTACCTACAAAGCTAAAAAATATTAAAATGTATTAGACAATTGTTATTATAAATCAAATTGTGCTTTCACTAGAAATAACATCATAAAAATATAACTAGTGGGGTGCATGGCATCGTACGTAATTAAAAATCTTTGTACGGAACCCAAAAAAAAATTACATAAAATGTGTGCATATTATTAAAATCTCTATAAAATATCTGATAATTTCATGTACATATAATAAACAATAAACATTTTTGACCGCCAAATAACATTTTTAACTTCCCGCAGGGTAAGTTATAATCGCAAAAAAATCGAAAATGAAAATTTTTATATACATCAAACATCAAAATTTAAAAAAAAACGATTTCTTATAAAAATTTGAGAATATTTCGAAATTTTCAAAAAAACGGTCATTTTCAAAAATTTACAAGTCCCCAAAAATGTAAAAAAATCGAATTTTTTTTATAAATTTCAAAATTATCAAAAAAATCAAATTTAAAAAATAAATTAAAGAAATTTTATAATAAATAATCTATTTGAATTTATTTAAAACAATTATATTGATTATCTTCATTTCCCGAATTTTTAATTACGTTATATATTAATTTCACGTAAAAATTAAATATTGTTTTTGTTATTTGTTTAATATCTGTATGTGTTTATATAACATTCGTTAAATAGTTTAAAGAATCAACTTTATTATAAACTATTTGTAAAATTTTTTACTGTGATCTTTATTACATCAGACAATATTTCTGACTGAGATAAAAAATATTTATATTTTAATAAATGAAAAAATTTAACCAAATTTTACGACTTTTGATCCGAATCAAAAGATAAGTTACTGGAAAGTAAGGTGACCATATTTTTGAAAGTCAAAGCCTGGACGGGAACTTTAAGTTTTGCTAACCCGGGGCGGAGGGGGAGGCATTGTCTCAATATTTTAAATATGATTCAAAATCAGTTTTTTGATTGAATATTTTTTTTCCAGAATAATTGACTTTTAGTAGTACTTCATTATATTCTATGATCATATATTTTTTTCTTCATAATTAACTTTAGTAAAAATTAGCACTTGTGCAAGGCGTTCAAAAAGTTCATTTTGATAATTTTTAGTAATTTTCGTAAAATTGAAAATAAAAGTACGAAGTTATTAAAGTGAGGGGCTATTTCAATCGGCTTTTGCTATTTGCATTCGGGACTGTATGGTCAACCTTACTGAAAAGCAACATTGTTTTATATATATATATGTATATATATATATATATATATATATATATATATATATATATTAATTTGGAAATATGAACAAACAACACTCTTTTTGCACTAATTTATTAAATAATAATTTTCACAAACGTTTCGAGACTAGGTTTGTCTCATCATCAGTGTGTTATAATTAAAAAAATTTTAAAATATGGAAACCTAACTGCCCTTTCAGACCTATAGTTTCATACATTGATTCACCTTATTATAATTTATCTAAATTCTTTTCCAAAATTTTAAAAAATGTTACGATTAATTCGCCATATTTTTGAACAATTCATACAGTTTAGTAGATCGCGTAAAGGACTTCAAAATCCCTCATAATTTTTCCTTCGTTAGTTTTGATGTTATTAATCTTTTCAGCAACATTCCACATAAATTAGTTATCACCGCCATTAGGAGAAGATGGTTGCAAATTGTTGAATACACTTCACTACCTCTCGAAACATTCATTTCTGGAATAGATTTACTACTGAAGGCCTCATATTTCCAATTCAATAATAAATTTTATACTATGATTAGAGGATGTCCTATGGGAAGTCCTTTAAGTCCCGTTTTAGCAGACTTAGTACTACAAGATTTAGAGAACAGTGTGTTGAATTCTACAATTTGCAAACCACTACTATATTTTCGATATGTCGATGACACGCTTCTATTAATTAACAAAAATGATATAGAGAACATATTTCAAAAATTTAATAATTATAATTCTCATTTACAATTTACACAAGAATCAGAAAAAGATAACTCTATACATTTTCTTGATGTTCAGCTCATTAACGACAGCGGTATTTGCATTACCAATTGGTTCAGGAAAGATAGCTGGTCAGGCAGGTATATTAATTTTAATTCTTTTACACCTCTCAATATAAAGATATCCACAGTTCTCAGTTTAGTAGACCATGCAATTCTTTTATCTAACCCAAAATTTCATAATCACAATATCAAATTAGTCATTAACACATTACTCATGAATAGTTTCCCTTACAAAATAATCAGTCCCAATAATTAAAAATAGAGTTAAATTTTTATTAGACAAACAATCAATAACCACACATTGCTCAAATCACTTGTCTGTATCAGAAAATAAATGTTTTGTGAATTTTCCATATATAGACAAAGATTTACACCTTTATCTAAAAGGCTTTTTAATAAACATAATATTAACATATCCGTGTCACCCTTACTACAACTGCAAGACATATACACAAACATTAAAGACAATACACCTATTAAAAAAGAAAAGATGTGGTATACAAAATAAACTGTTTGAACTGTGAGTCATCTTATATTGGGCAAACATGCCAAAATTTAGAAAAAGATTAAGACAGCACGAATTACAAAGCAAACAAAGTAAGAATAATAACATTCAACAAAAAAGTACACTTGTAGACCACGCTATCTCTAACAGCCATAGTTTCGATTTCAATAATCCACTCATTTTATATTATGAACAAGATTTATTTAAAAGAAGTATTGCAGAATCGATGTTAATAGCCCATACAAGTAACACAGTAAATTTACGGACAGATACCAATATATTACATGATACATACCTGAATCTCATTCATACTTTGTAGCTTATATATAGATGTACATACACTTTTAATTACAACAATGTATAACAAATCTTATAAACAAACCATCTCATCATAGAATATTTTTTCTCCTAACGACATCTATTTTTCAACTGGACCCTAATCCTTTTTTTTTCCTATCTGATTGAGTGACTTTACAATTTCAAGTGGTTTCAAGTAGGAGAGAATACGAATACCGAAGACATTGGTATTAAAAGAACAACGTGCAGTGAACGACGTGTAATGAAAAACACAACATGCTAATTTAGATTTCCATATTTTAAAATTTTTTTAATTATAACACACTGATGATGAGACAAACCTAGTCTCGAAACGTTTGTGAAAATTATTATTTAATAAATTAGTGCAAAAAGAGTGTTGTTTGTTCATATTTCCAAATTAATATCTATTATCCACTCAGAATACATTTGTAATATATATATATATATATGTTAAAGTAGTTAATTTTGATGTTGAGAAATATGAGTAAGTTCTTCAAGGGCATACATCAAATAAAAGGCAAAGATTTAGAAGTTAATCTTTAATTTTTTCCAAACGTTTCGACATAGTATTTTATGTCATCATCAGTGGATATAAATATGGTCTTACATCAGTAGCTAGCGCAAGGAACACAATTTTGCACTATCATATATACATTAACTTGTTTTTTTTATATTAATTTGTTGAACAGAGTATAGCAAAATATTTGTGAAATATATAATATATTTTGCACAAAGAACGTAGTTTATGTGACAGAGCCCGAGGCTGATATATTAAATTGAATAGATTGGGAACATTTATACTTATTTATCTACGCATATGATTGCTTTTGTCATATGTAATTTGACTTTTAAATCTTATCCAAACTTAAGAAAAACTAAGCAAGATAATGAAATGAATGTTTCATGGAATTCATGCAGAAAAATAGTTTCCATTTATAATTTTTATTGAAAATTATTAAAATCCGAAAGACCATCAGTAAATCATCGGAAACCGTTAGCAGTAATGCAAATTTGAAACAAAAAAATAACAGTCTTTATTATCTATGATAATAGTATGGCATTGCACCGCAAAATATGTAAGTAAGGTACCTTACTTAGACGTCTATGTGAGTCCGTCATATACAAGTGAAGTTCTTGCTTTTCTTCCCCTTTAACAACTCTGTACATCCATTATTTATTATAAATTAACTCTATACTAATTGAAAAATTTATTTGTTTATTTTCTTTAAAACTTTTTTCTGTGCCGTATTTAAACTACACACATTATATATAACTACCCTCAATAAACCAAATAGTTTTAAATGTTTGAATTGTTGATTGGCTAGAACAGAGGTCGGCAAAGTGGCGCCCCCGATCAACTTTAGATGCGCCCTCGGTTAATGTAAATGTATGATAACCTTAGCATAAATCAATTTCACATTTTCCAAATATAAGACATATTGTTGAAAGTCTAAAAATAAATATAGAAAATTTTACAACTACATCATATTTAGAATTTATAGACAAATTGGCAGAAGAGTTTTGTTCAAGATTTCAAGGTTTCGCAGCACTAGAACTCGTTCTAGGTTTTTTTATAAACCCATT